GAAGGTCAGTTAGCTGGAGCGCAGTCGAGGGGCCCTCGGGGGGGCCCATGGGAGCCCCGCACTGGGCTCGCGGGGTCAGCCTGGGCTGCGGAGGGGCAAGGCCCTGGAGGCCGGGCTGTCCTGCTCCTGCCGGTGCCCCTGGATTGCCGGCTGCCACCCCTGGAATCGCCCTCATGTGGGACAGCTCCAGCTTCCTGTCGAGGCCATAAACTCCCTGTGGAAGCTGCGAGCCCTGAGTCACTGCCCCGTGCCCTCCCCCACCCCAGCCACCTCCGGGTGCTCAGTCCCGTGCCTGTGATGTCTGTGAGCTCCGCCCTCGGGTGGACATCTGGCCAGTGGCCCCTGGGGGCCTTGACTCCCCAGCACAGACTGGGAGCTCGGCCACCCTCCAGCCGCTGCTCCCACTCGGCCAAACTCTAGTACATAGGAGCTCCCTGGGGCGAGGGTCTCTGCCAAGGTCGCCCAGTGACCTGGCAACACCCCAGGCTGGAGCCAGGCTTTCCTGGTACCTGGGCTTGTCACTTTCCCCTGGCCATCCCTCATCCGGCTCCCGAGTCAGCACCGGGAACAGAGGCCGGGCCGGGCTGGGCCGGGCCGGGCTGGGCCGAGTGGCCCTCCACGCCCAGTGGAGTCCTGCCCGGCCTGGCCGGGCCTGGCAGCGAGAAAGCAGAGGAACTGGTCTTTCAGCTCTAGGCCCCAGCCCAGCCCTCAGCTGGGCCTGCTCAGAGGCAAGTCCCGGCACGCGGCTGCCAGGCAGGCGCCAGCTCTGTGGAGGGGTGGTCTGGGGGTGCTGGTGGCAGCCCTGACTGGCTGGGGGCTTGGGAGCCCTCCGCCCTCCACGCACCCCTGGCCTGTCTCAGCGCTCCAGGTGGGCCACAGGGGCTGGTGACAGGCCTCACACCTTGACCTCAGGTTTCCCAGGCAAAACACTGGCATTCAGGGCCATGGGGCCTGGGGCTGCAAAGGGATCTTTGAAGCCCAGTTCTGGTGCTGGCCTTGACCCCAGCCCTGCCTGGGATCCCCCGGAAACATGGGGACTATTCCCAAGTGGCTGGGTGGGGACACTGAGGTGTGTATAGGGATGGGGTGCTACCCAGGAGGACCCCTGCAAGGAAGTGCTGATGGATTTGGGGGCCTTGCCTGTGCCCCCAAAGATGCATATTTTCTGGGTGAAGGCGGAAGGACCCCCCCTTCGCCTGCCTGCCCATTCCTGGACCCCTGCCCTGGGGCATGCTCATCAGCCCCTCAGCAGGCCCCAGCTTGACTCTGTGGGGAGACATGAGCCTTTAAATCACTGAGCCTGTCACCGGAAATGCTGACGTTGCCCCCAGGCACCGGTGGGGCCCTCCTTCCTGGGAGTGTCTTTAGCCAGGAGAATTCAGGGTCTTGAGGCTGGAGCCCTGAGTCCTGTGTCTCCCCGGTGGCTCCCAAGTTAGGAAAAGGAGACTTCAAAGAGGAAGTGACTTCCTGCCCGCTGTGTGGCAGCCCTGGGCCGCACGGCCCGGCCCTCCTGACCCTGTCTGACTTTTGCCTTACTGACCAAAATCGAGGCCACTGCCTTCAGAAAGTCCAGGGTTCTCCACCCAAGCCCCTTCTGTTGTCCTGTGGGAAACTAGTCCAAAGAGAGGCCAAGCTGCCAGCTCACCCGGGCAGGTGCTGGAAGGTTGGGCCACACCCGGGCCCCTCCCCACCCCGGGGTCACTGACCCTGCCTTTCCCTGACACCCTTGCTGCAAGATGCCTTGGCTTGGGCCTGCCTGGGGCCTTCGGTCTGCAGCTGGGCCAGATGGGCAGTGCCAGAGCAGTGGGTCCAAATGACCCCCACATGAGAGCAAGCAGAATGGTGACCCCACTGCCACGGGGCCCAGATGTCTGGAGCAGGGCTGGGTGCAGTAGTCTCCCCCCCCACCCCCCCGGCAGGGCCCTTGGAAGAGCAGAGCGGCTGTCACCCTCTGCCCCCACTGCGGGTTCCCCCGGCCTCAGCTCTCCCACGGGTTCAGCCCAGTCCCTGCCCAGGCTGAGGCGCCCGCTGGCCAGACAGGTTGCTGGCTCCCGGCCTCGCTTAGGGACAGAGGCGGCTTGCTTTGCTGTGTGCCCCATGGGGATCCGAGCGCTGGGGGCCTCTGGTAGCTCAGGGGCTCCCCAGTTCCACAGTGAGGCTGGTGCTGCCGGGTACTGGACGATCTGAGGTGGAGGCAGCCCCCAGGAGGTACCGCCCTGGGGCTTGTTTCCAGAATGATGTTGCCCAGAGCCTCGTGAGCACCAGCCGCTTGGGGTCTTTGCCCTCCATGCCGAGCCTCAGGGCTGCTCTGGGTGCGGCCTTGTCCTGTCCAGACTTTCTCTGGGCCGCTGTGGACCAGCTACAGGAGCCTCGGGACTCCACCCCAAACCTGTGAATCAGCCTCAGCCCTGGCACAGAGGCGCTAAGGATTCTCGGGCCTCGAGGAGGAATGCCAGCGTGGGTGAGGGCTCGGGTGGCGCTTCTGGCCGGCCGGGCACCTTGATGCGGCTGCGGCTGGGGAGGGTGGAGATGGACTTCAGTGCCTCAGAGAACTCATCCCCCAGGCATGCACTGAAGACTGGGGGTGCGGTCAGCCTGGGTGCTTCCGATCCATAGAGCCGCCATCAATGAGGGGTGAAGTCTCTAGGTTGCCAGACTGGCCCAGGCCTCCTGAGGGCTCCTGCTCCACGTGGGCTCTCGGCGGCCCTGGAGTGTGTGAGCCTGGCGCCCCTGGCCTGTCCTCTCGGCGAGGGACTCCCAGACTGGCCCTGTGCACCCACCCCAGGCGCCGCAGCCCCCCTTCCACAAGGGGGGTGCTTGACTCTGCTCTGTCCCTGGCCGGGCTGGGGCAGAGACCATTTCTCGCCCTCTTTCCTTCCCACAAAGTCCTGGGGTGATGACCTGATTTCTAAGTTCAGAACCCTAAGCTGCTGTCCCTTGAGCGTGTGTCGGGGACACAGCTTCTGAAAGGCTCTATGTTGTACCCATCCCTCAAGTCCACATCGGGCCACACCCCGATGAGTTGGGGTGCGGGAAGGTCCTTGGGACTTGGTCATTGTGGGTGATGGGGGTGGAGGGGGCCAGGGGTTCAGATGACCATCCTCTTCGGTCAGCCCAAAGTTAGAAGCCCTTCACTTGACCTGGGAGATGCCCCATCTCATGACTCTGTGTGGAGCTTCCTGCCTCGGTGTCTGGGGGCACCGACTTACAGTCCCAGGCCCGGCGGCCAGTGCTCCCCTTGAATGGAGGATGGACCCCCTTACAGCCAGCGGAGGGTGGGAGCCGGCAGGCGTTGGCTTGAGGCTACCTTCCAGAAGCTTCTCTGTCAGTACTGCAGGAGGGTCTCATGCCCTGACTCCTGGAGCCTGCAGCCTCATTGAAGAGGCTTAAACAGGTGGACTCACCAGTCGGGGAGGGTGGACCTTTGCGCCACGGAGGGGTAGAGGTGGCAGGAGAGGAGAGGAAGCGGCCCAGAAGTCTGTGGACATTGCCGCTGACCTTGGGCAGGTCCCTCACCCCGCCCGAGACTGATACCTTGGCTGTGAGAACTGTTAACGTCTCCCTACCCGACTCACCTGCAGGGGAGATGGGGAGTGGAGGAGAGAGCCCCGACTTCCAAGGCCGCGTGCCCTCTCTGGCCACTTTCCTGCCTGCCCGGCCCCTCCCCCACATCCTCTCTTGACCCTTCCCACAGCTTCAGTGTGTCCAGGCACCAGTGTGGCTGAGAGTAGTTGGCTCTATGCCACCCCTGCTCCCCCTGACCAAAACCTGACCAGGAGGCTTCCTGTGCTAGGGTTGGGGGCAGCAAATGGGCCCTTCCATCAGTAAACCGAACCTCTGGACCCGAACATGGGGGCTTTGGTTTACCGCCTGAAAAACGGATTTTCCTGGGACTTGTGGAAATTGGGGGAGGGGCATGGGAGGTGGGGGCTGGTTTGCCTTTGCCTCTCAAGCAATGGAGGTGGGTTCCGGGCCAGGCTAGCCTGTCCCAGGCAGCCCCGACAGGGGATCCCAGAAGGACCCAGGTCGGACAGGGCCGGTGCTGAGGTGAGCCCGAGGGCGAGGCCGGCAGGTCCGGCACAGTGGGGGTGACGGCAAAACCAGAAGTCTCACCCAAAACTCCAGCGCCAGCTGGCACCTGGTGACCCAGGTTCAAACTCAGCAGTTTCTGCTAATTCCCTCCCTACAGAGCTGAGGCTACCACAGAAGGTGGCCAGAGGGTTGGGGCGGTCGCTCCCTCCGGCCCTGGGGTCCCTGCAGCCGGGCCCAGCCCGCAGTGCAGACCCAGCCCGGGAAGGAGAGGCAGCCTGGGGGCCAGGGAACTGGTTTCAGTGGGAAGGTCTGCTTAAGAGCCTGTTGTGTAAACATGATGGCAGCCCGATAAGAGAGGAGAGAACAAATTGTTTTTAGGGACTGGGCAGATCCCAGGTCTTATCTAGTCAAGAGGGGAGCTCTGCTCTTGGGAAACTCTTAACCCATGGGCTGCTTCTGCAGGGAGAGACTGGGCCTCCCTTGTGCCCATCTGGGGCTCTGCTGGCCCCTCCCAGCTTCAGTGGGGCCCTTCAGTTCGCCCCCCCCACCCCCTGCTGTGAAACAGGGCCTGGGCCCTTGACTCTGGCTTCTCTGGAAGACCTGGAGCCCCGAGGCTGTTCCAGCAGGAGCCCTGGGCTGGGCCTTCCTCTCCAAGGGAAGGTGCTGGTGTACTGGGAAAGGGGCTGTGTTCTTCCTGTGGGGGCCTCCTGAGCAGGACCCCCAGCTGGGGGAGGCACTGGGCAGTGTGTGAGGGTCTGTGGGTGAGTGAGGCCCGAATGCAGGCCTCCTCCAAGTGCCTTGCTGCGGGTAGGAGTGTGGCCCTGGGCGGGTGTTTTGCTACTTGTGCTGGCAGTGTGCTTGGTCCCTGAAGGGGGCTGCCGTGGGGTGGGGGTGGGGGAAAGGGGCTGCCTGGAGCTGGTGGAGTGGGCACAGGGCTTTGAAACAGCGCTTGTGACAGTCCAGCCAGCATGTGGCCTGGGGCACAGGTGGAAAGTGGGCACCTTAAGGGCTCCCTGCAGGTGGGCCGTGATAGCTCAGCCACGCCTTGTGGGGCCAGAACCTGCTTGGCGGGGAGGGGCAGTTAGGGTCGGGTTCCGTGCGTTGCAACTCGGCATGTCTAGCCTTGCGGTTTCTACACGTGCCTGGTACGCCCCTGACCTGGCAGCTGTACCTTGGCTGCAGGAGGCCAAAGGTCTTGTCTTTTTCTCCCTGTGCTGCTCCACTCGAGGTGGGGCCCTGTGTGGCCTGTGGCCAGGACCCGGCAAGGCCTCCGGGGCCCTCAGCCTGGAGCCCACGCTCACACCGGCCGACCCCTCTCCTGCAACCCTGCCACCGCCCGCCCTTTCCAGAAGGCCCTAGAGTCTCCTGCAGACGGAGCCGCCACCTCTGGGGGGCGGGGGGCACTTCTGACACGAGGTGGGGCCCTGTCAGGGTCTCCGCACGCCTCACCTCATTGAATTTTGCAACGATCATAGAACATGGTCTTGCTGTCCCCATTTTACAGATGGGAAGAGTGGAGCCCCCAGGAATAGTGATGTCCCCAGGGCATCAGCGTCAGTGGCCGAGGTTAGGGGTCTCTCCAGCCTGCGTGCTCTGAGCTGGTCTGCTTTATTCAGGCTCTCTTCTGACCTGGTCACTGGCCCCTCAGGTGAACTGTGTCACCGGGCCATCTGAGTCAGTGTCACTGATGAACAGGACACACACTCGTTGCTCCTTTTCCTGCCGCATCAACTGTACAGTGTTAGGGGTAGGGTGGGCCCCTCTGGTTTTTACGCAGGCCTGCTCAGGCCCTCCAGGTCCGGTCTGGCAGCCCCCAGCCACCTCCCCCATCTGTTTACACTCAGGCAAGGCCGCCTCTCGGAGCTGGACCTGGGAATCAGCATTCCTGAGAGGCTGTTTGCACACAGACCCATGCCAGGCCCAAGCCTGTTTGTGGGGGCCTCCTCAGTGCTGGGTCCCTTGAAGATCAGCCTCAGCAGTCCCTAGCTGATGGCGTCCCTCCCTTTCTCCCCAAAGTAGACCTGGACCTGTGGGGGGAGGGCTGGGCCTGTGTGGGGACAGTGGCTGTCCTGCTCCCGGCCATCGGCCTTTCTCCAGGGCCCCTGGTCAAGGCTGCCACTCTGGAGCCAGGTCCTCATGGGACTGTTTCTGGGGGCTCTCGACCATCAGTGGGGTAGGTTTGGTGGTCTTGGGCCCTGAAACTCTGAGGGGAGTGTTTTAAGTAATCAGATCTTCTGAGAGGCCTGGGACGCCTTCCCCTGACAGAGTGTCTCTGCCAAAGCTCTGCCTCCTGTCATGTTTCTGGACCCCAACACCTAGTTCATGGCTGTGTCATCATAGGGCTGGAGGGATGTGGGGGGGGGCCAGTGGGCTTCCAGAACTGAGGGTCCTGGCGTCCATCTCACACACCAGGGCTTTCCTTCTGTGCTCTGATGGGGAGAGAATTGACTCAGCTGTCTGGGACGGGAGGCCAGGAGTAGCAGGGCCTGGCCAGGCCTCCACTCATGCCGTTTTCTGGTTCCTTTCCAGCAAATTGTGGCCACCAATGTGCCCCCTGAGGATCAAGACAGCTCCGGGGATGACTCTGACAACTTCTCTGGCTCGGGTGCAGGTGAGGCTGGTATGAGGCCCCGTCCAAGGCCAGGCCATGGCCGGGGGTTGCTGGTCAGGCAGCCCCCTGCCTGGCTCACTGGGCGAAGACCGGTGCCAGGAGGAAGCTGGTACTGTGTGGGTGGGGTAGGGCATCTTCTGGGTTCCCGGAGGCCCCCGTAGACGCCGCTGCAGACAGTCCTCTCCCCTGACTCCCTGGGCCACCTTTGGAAAGTTACCAGTCTAAGCTGTTTTCCATCTGTAAAGTGGGCGTATCTTGGCTTGAGCATGTTGTCGGGTGCTATTGGGAAGCATACAGCCTGGTGGGTGGGGCTGTGGATCTTACGTAACAGTTCCCCACCTCCCTGGGCAGTGAAATCCCTGAGCTGGAGGTGGTCCGGAGCCCCCCAGAGGAGGTGTCTTGAACTGGACCTCAGAAGAGCTGAGGCCATGCAGGAGAGGGCCAGGAGCTCAGAGGGAGGAAGCCGGCCTCTGTCTGTGGGATCCTGGGCCTCTCTGGGAAGGGGCAGGCGGGGGAGAAGGGGCCAGAGGGGTGTGCACACAGGGTCAGGCTTTCGGGCTCCTGGGGCATCCTGGGGTGTCCCAGAGGCCTTGCTGTGGCCTGCCCCGATGACCAGGCTGCCCCCGGCACGCACAGCAGAAAAGGCAGCTCCCTGGCCACTGCCCAGAGGCATGGCCACCTCAGCTAGCTCCACACCAGGGGTGCAGCTTCTTAGGGAGGGCGGTTTGCTATGCTGCCCTCGGGGCAGTGGCACTGACCTGCCCCAGCACTCGGCCTTCCTCTCAGCCTGGCCGTGGCTGGTGCCCAGGGTCTGGTTCCTCCCACCCCCAACACACTCTGCTCTCCCTGCAGGTGCTCTGCCAGATAACACCCTGACACGGCAGACCTACCCCACCTGGAAGGAGCTGGGGCTCCTGACGGCCACGCCCACAGCCCGGGAGCCCACCGACACGGACACCGTGGTCACCTCTGCCGCCGCCCTGCCGGCCAGAGAAGGCTCAGAGGACAAGGAGGCAGAGCTCGCCAAGGCGGAGTCTGGCCTCACCACCTGGGAGAGGGCGGCCACACGCTCCTCCAGTGAGGCCACACAGCACCCGACGGCGACAGCAAGAGCCGCCGAGGCCCAGGGACCAGCCACCACCCATCCCCACAGAGACACGCAGCCTGGTCAGCACGAGGCCACGACCTCCGACCGAGCCGGCCAGCACGACCCTCGTGTTCACAGCCTGGGGGAAGAAGGTCCTCACGCTGCCGAGGGGGCCGCCGTGGACGGAGCCTCCAGCCAGCTCCCAGGGGAAGAGGGCTCAGGCGAGCAGGTGAGGGCGTCCCCCACTGTCCTGTACAGTCCTGGGGGGCTGGGTGCCCCTGGTCCCAGGTAGCGGTTCTAGGTGCCTCCTGCCCCCAGGGCAGGACAAGCCAAGTCTGAGACCAGAGCAAAAGTCTTCCAAGGTCACCCAAAGGAGGGAACCCCACCCCCAGCCAAGGCCGCTGCTTGAAGGGTCCAGTCCTGGCAAGCCCCTCCCCACCTCCTGGTGCGTGAGGTGCGCACGGCACCCGTGGGCCTCCGTCCTGTGTCGTGTCGTGGGTGTGATGCGCCTGGTGTGGGCGCCTGGCCCGGGGCCCGGCACGGCTGGGTGAGGAGCGTGTCTGAAGCATGGCGAGGTGACCGGGGAAGGCCAGAGCTGCTTCTTCCTGGGTTTGGCAAGGGAGCGGGGCATGCGGCCGGCTGCGGCCTTCATCCTGGCCCCGCTCTCCCACAGGACTTCACCTTCGAAACAGCCGATGGGACTGCTTCCAATGGGGCCGGCGTGGAGCTGGACCAGCGGAACCAGCTCCCCGTGAACGGTGTGGTCACGGGCACCTCACAGAGCCTCCTGGACAGGAAGGAAGTGCTGGGAGGTGAGTCTCCCCCCAGGGGTATGATGGGGCCAGACTGCCGCTCTGGGGGTGGTGTGGAGGTTGTCTCTAGCCCTGGTGTGGCACTGGCCGCAGCCAAGGCCGCTCTCTGGGCTGCCGAGCGGGAGAGGGGCCGCGGCTGAGCCCGAGGAGCAGCCGAGCTCAGCCGGTCTCGTCCGCCCGCCCTAGGGGTCATTGCCGGAGGCCTGGTGGGGCTCATCTTTGCCGTGTGTCTGGTGGGATTCATGCTGTACCGTATGAAGAAGAAGGACGAGGGCAGCTACTCCTTGGAGGAGCCCAAACAAGCCAACGGCGGGGCCTACCAGAAGCCCAGCAAGCAGGAGGAGTTCTACGCCTGACGGGAGCGCCCCCCACCCCCCGCCACGCTAGGCCCCCATTTGCCTCTTCTGTGAAGAACGGAGGCCCTGCTCCCGGCCACCACACCGCAGAGCCGGGGCTCCCCGGGGCTCTCCTCTGCTTCTCTGACCTCTGCCTGGGATTTGGGCGCGAGGGCTTTCTTTGTATGACTTTTCCGCCACAGCCAGCCCCTGGCGTCCCACCTTTCTGACTCAGTTTCTCCAAACTGGTGCCGCCTCCCCCTCGCCCAGCTCCGGAGGCGCAGAGGACCCACCCCACTGCCGTGGACCTGGACAGCCCAGTGGGCTGGAAGATGCTGGGGCCGAGGGCTGAGCTGACACAGCCGTAGCACTTACTGGCAGAGACCCAGCGGACCTGGGGGCCTGGACCCCGAGCAGCAGGGAGGGGTGGTCCTGCGCACCTGGTCCGGCTCACCTGGCTCGTCAGCATCACTTGGCTTTTTGGGGGTCTCACTTAGATATCAACTTGTTTTTGCACATGTTTCCGCTAGTTTCTTTGTTCATAGCCTGTAGACGTTGTTACTTCTGAGGTAAGTTAAGTAAGTTGACCTGGTTGCTCATCTTGCTTTCCTAATCGACAGTCAGGAGACAGCATCAGCAGGGTCCAGAAAACTTTTTTTTTAAACTAGGCGATGGGAATCGGGAAGCCAACATGTAAGCGTCATTGAGTGTGTCGCTCACGTGTGCAACAGGGTACAGATCTGTTGAGTGGCCCCGTTGTGGGCTGGCTGACCCTGGCCGCCACGGGCAGCCACACCCACACCCATGCCCGTGACTGGGGGTGGGGGGTTTTGGGGGGGACATGGCCACTCCTGGTGCTGAGGAGTCCATGTGAGAACTGAATCCTGGCCTCTCAGGCTGGCCATGGAGGAGAGAGGAGCGTGGGTGGGAGAAGTGGGTCCAGGGGCTTTCCAAAGACCACGCTCTTCCTGCGGGACCATCGGGGCTGGTTTCTTCTGGAAGATGACGAGAGTCGCCCGAGCCCGCCTGGCACCCAGCTGTTCTCCGCAGCCCAGGTCACTTTTGATTCGCTCCTGCGGCCCCACCCTGGGCTGGATTCAAGAATGTTTCCAAAGAGTCATAGTCTTTTGCTTTTGGCAAAACTCTACTTAATCCAATGGGTTTTTCCCTGTACAGTAGATTTTCCAAATGTAATAAACTTTAATATAAAGTGGTCACGTGAACGCTGCTTCTCTGGCGGGTTGTGTGGACGTGACCAGCCTTTCCTCTGAGCAGCGACAGTGGGGAACGTGGCCTAAAGCTCTTCCCTGTGGGGAGGGATCAGGGGCAGCCTCCCTCTGGCTTGCTGGATTTTGGTTTTTGCTCACATGCTGGAGAGCAGTAGGCTTAGCCAAGGTTATGTAAGGCCTGATGTTGATTTTCCTTGCCAAGCTCGAAGCACCAGCTCCTCGATGGCTAAAGAAGCACAGCTTGGCCTGAGGCCACTGGCCCGGAGGCCTGGACTCTGAGATGCCCACCGCTGCAGACCACAGCCCTGCCCGGGCCTCCTGCAAACACCTGTGCTTGCTTATTTAACTCAGCTGCCTCCGCTTCCCCTTGGCGCCCCGGAGGGGCCCCCCTGTGACTGAGAGACGCCCTGGCTCACGGGGAAGCTGCGCCCTGCGGGCCGCCCTGGCTCACGGGGAAGCTGCGCCCTGCGGGCCGCCCTGGGACTTCTGCTGTGTGACTGGACACGGCCGGGCGGGGAAGGGGTCCGCGACCATGCTCGTTTCTGCTGGTCCGTAGGACAGTGCCGACCCGTGGCGGGCCCCTTCTTGTAGCCGTAATAAATGGTACTTGTCACCTCGGCTGTGCGGTGGCTGAGTCTCTCGTGGTCGGACCGTGTCCTTCCTGCGGCCTTCTGGGGGCACCGGCGTGGCTCTGCCTGGCTTGGGGAGGCGCTGTGGGGTAGCACCCGCGTCTGCGTTGGGAAGGCTGTGTCCCGGCCGGCCTCCTCCAGCCCTGGTCCCCTCATCTTTTCCTGGGGTTCTCTGCCTTAATCTCTCCCATCCAGCCCCTCTTTCTTGCTCTCCTTCTAGATCATTCCCTGCAGGGGCACTGGGCTCTTTTGGTTTGCTAGCTGTTCTGTTCAGTGGTCATGAGACTCTTGAAAGCACACAAGCAAACGTTCTCAAGTAGCAAGGCCCAGGACGTTGGCTGCGTGTAGGTATCCTGCACTGGGAGTCTGGAGCAATGCAAAGCACAGTTCACTGCAGGGGTAACTTGGGGTCGGCTGCTCTCTCCGTCCTCAGTGTCTCCTCCAGGCTGCTGCCCTCTCCCACCCCAGCAGACCTCCCTGGAGCTGAGGCCCTGGGCACCTGCTTGCTCTCTGGCACTGGAGGCAGGCCAGCCCCTGACGCTGGGGCCGGGCTGTCCTGGGCCCCTGCCAGTCCACAGGGATGGTGGACTTTGATTGTGTGCACAGTTCTCTCTGCAACCCTTCATGTTACAGGAGGCTGGGACAAAATCCTCAGCGCCTTCCTTCCTTCAGCAAACATGGAAAGCACCAAGTGCCTGCTCTCTGCCCGCTCCAGGGCTGGACAGAGAGGCACAGGTGAATGGGCTTCCGCTGTCGGTGTTTTCACTGAGCTGACTCAGAGCCAGACACTTGTCAGACAGAACACCTGGTTTCTTCCCGTATTACTGATGCTTCCTAACCCATCTGTGATGGTGCTGATATAAACCACCCCGCTGCAGACAAACAGCACTGCAGAGAGGCACGTGGCCCTCAGCCGTGCACCAGTGAGGAGTGGAGCTCACTGGGGGGAGGGGCGTGTTGGGGGGGGAGACAGAGACCCCACACAGAAGGGCCTGGGCAGGGAGGGCGGCAGCCCCTCACTCTGGGCGCGACCAGCAAGCTTCAGAGCTTCCGGAATCACCTGCCCTGTCCCCTCCCAATGGGCCACACTGTAAGCCCCTCCCAGGACTCTCCTTACTGCCCTCTGTCCCGCTCTGGGTCACCCCCCCTCGAGGACTAACAGGAAGGAAGAAGCTAAAGCGCAGGGGGTGTGAACACAGTCTTTGAGCAGCTCAACCTTGAGGCCTTTAGCCTGTGCTCAGCCGCTTGCTCCAGCTGCCTGGAGCTGCAGCTCTGCCCTCCTCTCTCCCCCGCCTGGATACTCTGATTCAGCGCTATTGCCCGTTTTCCCTCGTCTTGGAGCTCACCCTTGTGCAGTGTGTGTGTGTGCGTGTGTGTGCGCTTGTGTGCGGGGGGGGGGGCACTGCTTCCATGGAGTCCTCTCGTGTTATTTCCCTGACCAGTGAGCTCCTTGTCCGAGAGTGTCACCTTCAAGCTGGCAGCTTCTGCGTCGTCGCTGCCTCTGGGGTTTGGCTGGGCCAGCGCGTTCACCTCCGGAACCCAGTCATGCAGTCATGCTCTGGGAGGGGGGGCTGTGATCTCGGGGGGCAGACAAGTGTGAGGAGGAGAGGGTTCTGGTGACAGGCAGGAGGTGGCATCTCACCGGGCTGGACGTTGGATTATGGGACGTGCCAGCGGCGGCACTTGAACTGGGTGTTGAAGGATAAATTCCAGCGGACCTCTCAGAGCAGGAGAAGGCTTTCCAGGCAGAAGGAGCAAACTCCAGCGCTTTGTGCTGATGCGAAGTGAAAGTCGCAGCGGGGAGAGGCAGGATGTGTGGAGGAAGTGGCCTTCTTTCTGCGGGAACCTCGCCCAGCAGCTGAGGGTCCCATGGGTGCAGGAGAGATGTGGGGTCACAGAGGAATGGGGGTGGGGGTCCGATGCCAGGAAGAGGCTGCTTGGTGAGGCGGGGAGGTTGGGCTGGGTTGGTCTAAGAGAAACTGGCACACAGACCCATAGCTGTGCCCACGGGGGGCCCCTGCCCTGCCCGTGCGAGGTCTCAGGTGGAGTCTGAGCTGGCTCTGGTGCTCGGGCGAGGACTGCGGGAGCTGGCTGTGAAGGGGGAGGGCAAAGGGGGCCGAAGGACTTTGGCACAGAGCGGGGTCTGGGGTGGGTTCACAGTGAGGTTCTGCTGGTAGGTGGACCCCAAGATAGCATCTGGGAGAGAAGCACTTTTGTTCCTTTTTTTTAAAAAAAAAAAAAAAAAAAAAGATGTATTTATTTGTGCCTACAGAACTGAGGCACAGGCCAGAGGAGCAGGGGTGGTGAGAGACTTCACCAGAGACAGAGTGGGGAGCAGAACAGGACGATCAACAAAGTACACTGCTGAGGGGAGCAGCGGGCGGGCCAGGAGAGGTCTGCCGTGCCCTGTGGGTCAGCTCCGGGGTGGGGAATCGAACTTGCACTGAGGCAGCTGCGGCTCGCTTGCAGTGCTGCGTCCTAATCTGTCATGCCACCGGGAGGGACCCCCCTTTTGTTCCTTTTAATTGAGGCACATGTTTCCGGTCCGGTGTAGGTCCCAGGAGCACATGTTCTTACCGCAGCCACTGCATACATTTCGCCACCAGATGTCCAGTCACTTTGCCCGGCTCTGGGTTCCGGGCGGTAGAATTCAGGAGAGGGGGGGATGGCTGCTGTGTAGGAGCCGCCTACAGCTGTTGTCCGGCCATGCCAACATGAGGGGATCCCAGGCCCAGCCCTGGATGGGCTGGCAGCTGTTGGGGAGCTGCAAAGATGGGGGTGCAGAGTGAAGGTTGCTGGCTTAAAACTGAGGCTTTCAGTATGGAACAGCTGGAGTCTGAATCATCTGTGTTTCCTCCAAGAGGCTGCCAGAAGAGCGCAGAGCTGAGGCCCGGGTCTTCAAAACATCTGCCCCTCCGGCCCCCCACCAGCCCCAGTGTTAAAAACAAAACAACGAAAGAACACTTGAATAAACTAGGGTTCGCCCACCCACAACAGCAGGAGCAGGCACCAGCATGAGCGGGCAGCGCTGCAGAAGGAAGGACAAGAGGCCCTTCCCCGTATCAGCTACACTGGGCCCAACGCGCTGTCTGGCTCCAGGAGAGCCTGTGTGGAAACAGACCCCGGGGACGCCAGACAGTAAGGCCTGAGCTGGTCTGCAGGAGGGGCTCTATGGGCCCCAACGCGCAGCCCTGGCACCCACAGACAGCAGCAGGAGGCTTGGGTTTTCCCATTTACTGGAACTGGTCCTTTGGCGCAGGCTGCTCTGGGCCTTTTCTGTACCTATGGCCCAGAAGGTCCTCACGTTCCTATTATCTCCATAGGTACAAAGACAACAGTCTGAAAGTCTGTCCCTACTCCAACTCATAAAAATTTATAATGAGTGGCCCTTCCTGATGGCACAAGGGTTAGGACGCAGCACTGCAGGCCAGTCACAGCCGCTTCAGTGTTAGTTCAATCCCCAGCCCCGGAGGTGACCCACATGGCGCGGCAGACCTCTCCTGACCCGCCCGCTGCTCCCCTCAGCAGTGTACTTGGTCAGTCGGCCTGTTCTGCTCCCTACTCTGTCTCTGGTGAAGCCGCCCCTGCACCTCTGTCCTGTACCCCAGTTCTGTATGTATCAATAAGTAAATCTTTAAAAAAACATACAATGAAGAGACAGATGCACATTCCACAAATATAGGAACAAAACTAAACTAAACACAAAAGCTCTGAGAGTAGTCTCAACCCAGCAGAACTACAGAAAATGACCAAAGAGGGGTTCAAGGTCTAACAATGCTTATGGAACTAAAGAAAAGCCACCAGAAAACTCTAAACAAATGCAAATGTCAGCAAAGTCTATAAAGCATCAACAGAATAAACTATGAGGCAGTTACAACTAGAAATAATGGAGCTAAGAAATCTATAACTAATTTAAAAACACAATTGACAACTTCAACGGCAAAGAGAAGGAATGGAAAGAATTAATGAACTTGAAAACACAATGCTAGAGAACACACAAATAATACAATGCAGAGACAAAGTAATGAAATATTGAAAATAGTGTAAGAGTCCTTTGGGATAATTTAAAAAGAAATAACATCCATATCATGGGAGTCCCAGAAGGAGAAGAGAAAGAGAAAGGCAGGGGAATCTTATTTTGAAAAATAATTGCTGAAAAGTCATCTCTGTCTGGGGAAAAAACAGACATTGTGATCCAAATGGCCTCAAAGTTTACGAAGAAAATAATACTAGAAAGAGACTCACCAAGACATATTATAATATAGCTGTGAAAAACCACCTAGGGAAGAATATTGAAAACATCAAGAGAAAAAAAAGTAACCTATGACAATAGCAATTAGACTGTCAGCGGACTTTCCAGGAGAAACATTATAAGCATGAAGGAACCAGATTTCCAGCCAGAATCCTTTGCCCTGCAAGATTAACATTCAAGACAAAAGTAGCTTCACTGAAAGGCAAAAACTGAAAGAATTTATCAACACCAAGCCACACATGAAAACGATTTTAAAGGGATTATTACAATAAAACAGAACAACAAACAGAGGCGACAGCCCTAAATCACTTCACATGGAGGAGGACGACAGTGACAGTGTGGCCTGTCAGAACGAGCCAAAGACCAGACAGCCCCACGGGTCACACAAATACTAACCTCAGTAGAATCCTCAAACAAAAATTAATAGAAGTAGCATGCAAAACAGCGGAAATGGAACCGAAACAAAACAGGACGGGAAGACCTCAAAACATAAAAGACCTCAAAACACCCCCCCAAAACACAAAAACCAGAAACATAACAAAATGACAATGTCTCCCTAATCACTTCAAATGTAAACAGTCTGAATTTACCAGTCAAAAGACATAGGGCTGTTGAATAGATTTCAAAACAAAGTCCAACTTTCTGTTGTTTACAAGAAACCCATCTCGCCAACAAAGACAATAAAAGCCAAGAGCAGCTATATCTGATGAAATACAGTTGCAGTTAAGAAA